TGTGTGTGTGTGTGTGTGTGTGTGTGTGTAATAATAATGATAGCAGTAGAGGAAGCACTTCTTTCGCACCCACCAGCCGTATAAGAAAAGTCTAGACATCCAACAGGAACCTAGAAGTTGAAGCCAGAATAAGGCCAACCATCTCCGTTGGCTCCTTTTAGTTCAATATTATAAATCCCACCCCTCCCTTTTAAATGAACAATGTCCTTGGTAAAATTTAAAAAAAAAAATGCACCTGCTTCAGAGTCTTGCAGGGGCTTGGGGTATTTTTTTTTTCTTTTTCTTTTTAGCATTCCTTTGCAAACGTTTTGAGTTACCTCTCAATACTGTAATATTTAGCATGGGACTTTTATTTTGAAATTTCCAGTTAACGAAGCAGGATGTCACCACAAGTAAAGGAAGTTGATAGTGATCCTGTGTGCCTGTAAGATGTTTGTGCCGAAGCTGAATTGAAGTGGTAACTCCCACATCATGGTGCACATGTGAATTTATTTTTAAAAAACAGCAGAAACAACAAATACTTTTGCGTTACCTCRCAATACTTTGTGGGAWAGTCGCTGAACCAGACAGCAGAAACAATGGAAAGGACACTACACCCGTGTTTGAAATTCATGAAGTTTYATTGTGAAATCAGCCAAGAAGAATACTCAGAATATTCTAAAAGGCAAGTGTCACATCCGTGACTGTGTGGGAACACAAAATGCATTGCGAGGCAACACAAGAAAAAAAAAAAATCCCCCAATGTCCCCTCAGGGGGGTCCATATTTGTAAACTGTATTTATTGATAGGCCTGTAAAAAATTGTAACCRGAATAGGACTGGTTCCAGCCCAAGTTTTAAGTACCGCTCACTCCTTGTAAACAAACAGAACATTTCTGTCGATAAAATTTTTTTTACTTGTATAATTTATGTTCAAGTGCTTACTTTTGCTGTTAGTTAGCTCTAATTATTTCATGCTTAAAAAGAAAAGTTACATAMCAGTATCATATATTTCAGCCCCTTTGAACATTTACCTGTGCCTCAAAAATCCGTAAACGTTGGGGGTTGCAAGTCGACCGCCAGCAGTGGACTGTCGGCTGCAACAGTTGGAGGAAATGAGGGCGGGAGAACTTATTTCTAAGAGCAGAGTGTATTGGAAGAGGATATTTAATGTTATTTCTTTTATTTTATTTTTTGTTTTGTTTTGTTTTTTACGTCCCACGGGCTCTGACGTGTTAAATAAATCTGAAATTGAAATTTTGAAAAAATGCGAAAAACATAAAAAAGTCCGTGACATTGCTCTACTCGTCTGTAAGCCTGCAAAATTATGGAAAATCTGTGTAAATTACGGACAATCCCTAMWACTTGASATGTATGCACCATCATGGTAAAATGTAGGCGGTGCTTRTATCTCCACATTGATAGTTCACAGACTGTGGATCCAAAAATACATGGCAACGTCTGTAATATGGGATCCTGTGGCTTCACACTAAGGCCTAGCTTCATCTTATATGGCTGATGTTTGCACCGTATTCTTTACAAMCAGGAAGTAAGAGGAAGGTAGGGAATCTGCATCTTTACAACAAGATGTCACTAAATCCCACAAACTGAGTATTTATAAAACAGTGCTGTGCTTTAATAGTGTTCATACTGAACCTGAAAGGGACAATATCATGTAAAATCAAGTAAATATTCTTGGCTCTACTTGAAAGACAGTTTGTTTTCTAGTGTTAAAATGAATTACAGTCACAAAATCTCTAGAATTGTACATGTGTTTTCTTTAAATGTCTTAAAAACTCGCTGTACCTTTGTGCTAGTTTTTACCTTGCTCTGCTGAAAGCTAGCTGCAGATATTCTCGGTTCTTTGTTTACACACTTGTGGTTTGTTTGGATGTTGACGGCAGGTATTTTGCTCTACATTTAACCTACAGTATGTGTGTGTGTAGGCAGAAGAATTATGTTGGTATGTGTGGGCATGTGGTTTTATGTTTAGCAGCTTTTTTTTCTTCTTCCTGTCTTCTCCTCCCACAGCCTCTTCCTGCCGCAGGTATGTTGTTCATACATTACTAATCCGTACACTCAGGGGACTGCTATCTCTAATACGTCCCCTTTCTCGTCCCTTCCCCTCCACCCGGTAGTTCTCTTCCAGCCGTAACTTCTCCTGGTTCCTTCCGTCTTCTTTGCCTCTGAGGTATTGTACCTGTGGTCTGTCGTTTGGGGAGAGGTCCTGCTTCAGGAGGGGAGGCGTTTTGGTTTTTGCCACTTTGTCGAAGAACGCAAAGTCAGCCACGTATTTTCCTGAGGGGGACAGGGACATGACAGGGGGGAACTCGTATCCCCAGAGGATCTCCTCCGGGAGATAGGATGTCCGAACCTGGCATGTGGCCGACGTCGGCTCGACCGTGGCGCTCATGATCACCAGAAGCTCAAAATCTGCCAGTTCAGGATCCGTCCAGCCACCACCTGGAAAACAACCAAAAATATGATTACTAATGTTTCAGTCCATCAAAACTAATTAAGATGTATACTTTTTCTTAAGAAAGCCACTCTTTAGTACGGAAGACGATAGCAGTTGTTCTCTGCGTATAATTCTTTTCCATGGTTTTCTTGTGGTTATCACAAAATAACGCTTCTTGTTTTCTTGTGATAATGACATAAGTCGTTATCAAGAGAGAACCATGAACAAAATATATATGCAGAAAATGGCTGCTCTCAGCTTCTGAACTTTAGAAAAGAAAGCCACTATTTAAAATCCATCAACATAAGCTTAAAGAATATAAAATGTCAAGAAAATGGTATCTGGAGCTGCAATTTGATTCAGTTAGATTTTCTGAAGTAGCGTTTTGTACAACTGATGTGTTTTAAACAGACATGTTCAGCTATTATTCTAACAAAAAATCTGAAATGCCCATAACGGACCATTATGTAGAAAAAATGTCCACATTAACAATATATAAAAATATACAAAACATTCCTAAACTAAACGCACCAAAAGTTTATACAGTGCCTTGCAAAAGTACTTTAGTTTGGGTACTTGCCGCTACTGAGTACCAATATCGAGTACTTACTGAGTTAGAATTTAAACATTACTCAATGACTTTAAAAATACATTTCTTGTATTTAGAGCTTCCTTATAGGCCTACAGCCCCTCTGACTGGATCAAATCAAATATACAGCAGGATTTATGGTGTCAACATGGTAATTGATTTCTGTCCAAAGTATCGGAGGCATTTWGTACAAGTATAAGTGTAATACTTGTAAAAATGTTGATAAAGGACCAGATACCAATACCAGTGTTGTGTCGGGACAACCCTAATGCTTTTGCTTATTTGAAAGTATGTGTATGACACTATTAAATTTCTCGCAGTTAAAAAACATTTCAGCACACAAAGTTAGACAACAGCAGATTTAGGATGAAAAATATACATATTTATAAAATATTTATAAAAATGGCTCAGTTGCTGTGGTTCCTTGAGCAGAAAGTGCTTGTGGGCATTCATAACATATGAAAAGCACCATATTTTGCTTCCGTGTGTTAAAACCACACATTAAGCTTTTAAAAATGCACATTGTGGAGCATATTGTCAAATAATTTTATCATAAAACTCYATTTATGTGCATACAATAGGTAAAAACGCAGCAGAAAAGTTCATTTTCTAATCTAATCTCAAAAGTAACATTACTGCCAGTTTCACATTACAGTTATTCTGGAAATATGAARCATATTTTTGTAAGAAGAGCTTCAAACAAAAAGAGCTACAGCTAGCTGATGCCACCACTTTTTGCTAATAACCACAGAATTCCATATAAATAACCATATGGTGAAAATGTAGGGCAACATGAAGGCTTCAAAACCAGATGTGAATGTAGATAAAGAGAGTCTCACACACAAGCAGGCACACACATACTCTGCACAAAAACACACACATTCTGAGTCACAGTCRCTTAGAAGCTACTTTCGTGAAATTTTATCCCACCAACTACACATTTTTACACACCAGAAACACTTTCATTATTCACATGTGCAGAACTTATGTTTACAACACATTAAAAATRGAAAATGCATTTGCCTGCAATTTTCCCTTACAATCCCCAAAGGACACAGCAGCAGACATRCTGTATGCAGTGAAGCAAGGACACACCTGCATCAACAGGCCTCACTCAGAATGCACACTCTGTCATCTGTCTAAACAACCCTTACGCTCACCCAGACCAAATATCACTCCCACCAAGGCAATAACATCAGGTTTCGCAACCGTTTGTAGACAACGTGATACAAACATGGTTGAGGGGATTCTCTTTCCTGGYTTGTTGTGGGCGGTGTGTCTGTATTTATTGAAAACGTTTCGTTTCTTCCACTTTTCCGTGCAGGGTCACGAGGAAGCWGGTGTCTGTCTCCAGAGGCYACTCTATCTCAGGGCAACAAAGACACAAGTGAGACATACAAMAATTCATACCATAGGGACAATTYAGTTACCCATTAACCTAAGAGACATGTCTTTGGTCTGTAGGGGGAAACCAAAGTACCCGTGTGTAAAATAGTCATATGCAGATTAAACTCATTCCCCTCTCAATGAAGAGTCAGAGTTTTTTGTTTGCCTGGTTCACAAAAGAGATGCTTTAATCGCATGCATGAAGGTGTCAATCTGAATGAAACAGACTGGGTATCAGGCTTCATGATTCATTGTAAGTTTTAGAAKTAAAGGTGTTCTTTTCCTTGTTTGACGTAAATGCTTCCTTYGCCAAATTATGAGCATTTTGGTCCTTAAAAGAGTGTCCTTTGACATTGAGACTCAGTGRTGAACCTCAGAGTCTTGTCTTTAAGAGGTACAGTGGCGGCCCTCCCAGCACGGTTGCCTCTGGGGGCTCCGCRCTTGGGGTCCCTCTCATGGTCTTTGGCGCTGGTCTCCCTTATGTTGGCTTCGGGCTTTACRGGTYGGTGCTGTGYTTTTGTTATCTCTGTTTCTGTAGGTGTGCAGCCAAGATGTCGGGTRTGTTGTCTTGTGTTTTCTCGATATATATTTCACATGTCTTCTACTCTCTCACTCTTTCCCATTACATTTMAYTTTTTTYYYYTTYYTTTTYYTYYTTWAAAAAATTGGTCACTGATGATGAAGAAACTAAGAAACTAATATTCAGTTCTGCTTTTTGCTGAAGTGGCTAAAAAAAGGAGGTACAGTTGCACGCCTACCTTGAGCCATACGTCTGTGGTGAGGCAATATAAAGGTCTGAACACTTTTATATAGGATGGACCAGCCTTTGTCTGAGGGTACTTTAAGGTTTGAAATGCACAGAGATGTTTTAGTTGCTAGTAAGATATAGAACAATAATATTTCTGTGTTTGTTCTCCCTGTTATGTGGCATTTACTTTTCTATTGCCCTATTAGGATATCTACATGATTGAAGAGTTTTTTGGTGTGTTTTTGTCCCTTCTGGCCACATGGGGCCATGTTCAGCCTGATGGAGTGCAGAGTTCTATTGACAGAAAGTCTGTGTTGCTGTGGGTTGTGAGACTCAAACAGAAGGTASTGATCTGTGTGGGTTAGTTTCCTGTAAACCTCAAAGTTGAGGCTTTTGTGTCATTCATGTGCACCAAACAGTACCAAAAAAAGGCAGCCTGTTGTTGTTAGCATTTTCTGTGGAGAAYYGGATGTTGTTGTTGACTGAGTTGACATGGCCRGTGAGCCCTTCACACTTCCTTAGCTTGGATTTTCTCCCAGGTATYGTCCACATTAAGCTGACAAAATCAAAGTTAAAGTACAGGGAATCTCAGGGAGAAACACAAAGATGTAAACATAACAGGACTGTTTGAAGTACAAAGCACTACAAGAGAAGTAATAGTGGAGGTAAGAATATGTCCATCTTCATATTTTACCACTTATCCATGGTCAAGCCTCAGAGGCAACAGGGCCAGGAGAGAAACCCAGACATCCCTCTCTTCAGTGACACTTTCCAGCTCATCCTGTGGGATTCTGAGGCAATCCCAGGCCAGGAAAATTATCGTACACACCCAAGTTACATTCTAGAGAGGCTCAAATTTACAAATACATCCTGCTCAGCTCACAATGTGCTCTGTGTTCAACAAACTACACATTCTTTTGTTTATAATAAAGTTAAAAAGCACTGTTGGGTGTCTGTTTTTTTAACAAAAGCTTTGTTGTAAACAAGAACAAAACATGGAGTCTGGGGAAATGCTGCATATATGTTGTATTAAATATATGTTTATTAAATGTAAATGTTGCTTACACTCCTCACCTTCTCAGTCCCACCTTTTATTTTTGATTTTACAGTTATTATTTCTTTCACATAAGTACTACTATATTTATCTTTGCTGCTACTAGTTGCCATCATAACCCCATTGTGGGAGGGGGTGTTCTCCCCAAGAAAATTTTGAATGAAGTAGGTGCTGTTTCCTGCATTCTGGTGTATTTGCATGTTGTTAAACCTATTTTAAACTACATAAATAAACACTTTCATATCTATTTTAGAGACAGATTCTACATTCAACTCAATATATGAATCATCCTTTTTGTGTCTCATTGGACGTTTGATTCTTTGACCAACTGGTAGGAAGTAGAGTTTTAAAAGTGTAAAAAAAACACTGGTGACTGTCGTGGCAGCCAGCCTTCTCTTTAGAGACAGTAGTAGGCTATGTCAAGAGAACAAAAATTTCTTCTGTTGCTCCTTTTTTAAAATAAATGTAGATTAATATATTTTTTTTTATTTTACTGTCACAGCTCTAACCTTCCTTTCTATTGGCCAGGGACCGGCAAAGGGATTTTAACCATAGAAATGTTTAACATCCCATCATGGATCAGTCGCAGCAGCAGTATTCATTTCATGTCTGGATGGGATGGAAATCTACCTGCAGCAGGGAGAGACTCAGCGTGAAGAAGCCTTCTGTCGGTGCTCTGTGACCGGGGAGGAGGAGCTCTCAGCAGCACAATGGAGAAATATGTTCACGGCAGAGTCTCTCAAAGTCTCAATAACACCAGAAAAAGAGTCGCTAGATTTTCACTGGTCACTTTTCTGAATAACAGTATCTAGAGGGTCTGAAAAGTCTGTGAATATAGTGAGGAAGTCGCTAAATCAGCACCGCTGTGTTCCTCAACCCGCCACCTCTCATGTCAACGAGCCGCGTGTCAGGTCAATTACGTCACACGTTGGAGCAATCAAATTATCGTACATTATGGGATTTTTGGGATTATTGATCGTACATCGTACAGAGGGCAAAATTATCTTACAAATAGGATAATTATCGTACACCTGGCAACACTGGGCCAGAGAGGATGCATAATCCTCCAGCAAGCCTTGGGTCTTTCCCAGAATCTTGCCTCCTACCCGTGGGACAGGCCTAAAACACCTCTAAAGGGGTCCAGGAGGCATTTTAATCACATGAACCACCTCAACTGACTCCTTTCAATTAGGAGGAGCAGTAGCTCTACGTCAAGCTCCCCCCTAGATGATGGAGCTCCTCRCTCTAAGGCCGAGCCTGGCCACCCTACGAAGGCAGCTCATTTTGGCTGCCTGTAGAAGTACAAAGGTGAATATAAACTGGGGAAATTTGATAAACGCAAGAGACTAGAGAGAGTAAGAAACAAGAATCACAGAAAATGTAAAAAAAAATGACACAAAAGTTCCAATGAATTGTGTTTCATTGCACCCAGAAGATGCCTAACTTCACATTTGTGTGTAAAAAATAAAAATAAAAAGCTTGGACACTCARTAGATAATCATGAAATTTAGCCCAGAGTTTTAGGGACTTCCTGAGGTCCAAACGTGATCATTTAATCAGGACATAAGATCAGTTTGCTGTAGACTTTACAGTTATGCTAGTCATTCTAAACAACAGAACTTCGGCTCTACATGTTTTACAAACCAAGCATTAAATCTCTATTCAGCACTGATTTGCAGGTTTGGAGGTTATTTTTAGCTACTATTTCACATTGATTTTCTACCTCTTTGCAAGCCGATCTACACTTTTATAAGTACAACCTCTCTCCACTACCAGGCAGATTKTTGTCATCAACCACAGCAGTTTCATTACTGCTGAGCATGTTGCCAAGTTGGAAATAAACCATCAGAATTTATCTTTGATCATTTTATTCACAGCACAAACTATTTGATTTTCACTGTGCGCTTTCTGTGGAGCACGCTGATAAACAGTTTTTATTGTACTTTGTGGGTTTTAACACCTACCTACATACACTCTCCACAGTGTTCTAGCTTTAGCATGTCATGCCTCACAGACAAACCACAAGATAAAAACATTCGTTTTGTTGCACCGGAAGCCAGAATTAGGGCTCCTAAGATGGGTGTTCCCAGCTGAAGCTCGGCTTATTTGCAGTGGATTTCAAAGCACTCATGCTACATTCACACCGAACGTGTTTTGAGCGGCCAAAAAGCGCAAAACCCCTCTCGTTGGACGCACTATGTTCAGACCGAAGAAC